CAGTATGAGAAAGATCAACCTATATGTTCGAAAATGATCAATTCTTTAAAATGTCAACCAAAATTGATTAAACGCAAAACTTCATAACTTCTTAAAGATCAACCATTTTATTTTTCAATTAACACCATGTGCATCAATGAACAAATTTATGCAAAACTGATATTGCCAATTTATCATAACTTAAGAATATTTTTGCTCAATAATTGAGGCTAGATTTAAAAACGTTTTCTTCATAAATTTATATAGAATACTGTAAATCTTCTTTAAGCAGAAAATGGAATTGTTTACAGAACTTCCTGCTTCTCACAAACGTTTTGCATACTCACGTGGCCTACGTCACAGCTCACCAATGACACTTTTCAGTGGCAAAACTTGTTACAAGAAATTTATTTTATAGTGAGCACAATTTTTGCATTAAAGGTTCTGAAAAGATGCGTTCAATAAAGATATTGTCCCGGTTAGAACAGAAATGACGGACATGCTTTTAAACGCAATAATGCCCAAGCTCAGCTGTAAACTTTTTAAAATCTGTATTCACCACCCACTTTGGATTTTTTATTAGTATCTATGAAGGAATTTTCTAGAATAGAGCTAACAAGTGTTTACAAAATTATGGATCTATTAAGACAAATTGATACAAGTCATTGTGCAAAAGCTGGAGGGTCTGTGTTTCATAGTATTGGAAATATTTGACGATGAGTTGCGCCAATAATTTATAACCGCATCATCAGGCTTACGTGGCTAGGTACACCTTGGGGTCCACCTATACATGCGGATAACTTTAGACCGACAGATGTACGCCATTGGCCGATATTTATAGTAACAGCCATCTTGTTCGACGTCATTGAGGGATTCCCATTTTGTTGTCGTTGCCTTCATATTTCTCCAACCGATCCTCAATGATTCTTATTAGGTGAGTTCTCATTAGGTTAGAATTTAGATCTAGATTAGACATGTCTCAATAGTGTTATTATTATTTTTTTAAAATGTAATAATCATTAAGGAAAAAAAGGAAAAAAAAAGAAGAAAAATTGGTTGCCCAGCCACCTTCGTTGATTTTTTTTCTTGATGAAAATCGAGGAGTTTTTAGGGGGAGGGGGGTGCTTTTTATGAAGTGGCCTCCAACTCGGTTCTTTGGGCTCCAAATGCGATGCAAATGGCATCCATCGCCTCCGAACATCTGGCAACTCTGCTGACTACTCCTCACAATCCCCACACTTTCACGGCCCGCCCTTCACGATTTTGATTTTACCGCTGCAGTAAAATTGATCTCTGCAAATCGTCATTCTACCGTCTAGGGTCGAAAGTTCTAAAAAATACCACAGTCAGGATGTACAAAGCTGAAATTCATTATTAAATCAAAATCGCGTTAAATTGTATTTTTGACTTCAGATTTGGATTCTGTGATGAAAATTATCAATTGGAGCGCGAGATTTTAACTTTTAAGTCCATTTCCGCAACACAGACAATTTTTTAAAAATTGTAAACCCGCTGACCTCAACCTACATAATATTTTTTGACAGTTTGAGCTGTTCTCTTCTTTCTTTTTGTAGGCTTTTTAGACCGTAATTTTTGTTCGTTTTAAATTGTGCTCATCAAAGAAAATTGAATTGATAATAACTATATTAAACAATTGTCATGAATAGTAAAGAAAAATATGAAAACAAAAAAAAGAATGGGGTAGGCTATAATTTGTCAAAAAAACTACGAGTGCAACATGAAGATGTAAGATGATTTTGTTACTTTCTGGTAATTTTTCCTGAGGTTTATTAAATGTTCCAGTGGGCCTACTATATTATATATGTCTCTGAAGAACATTTTTCTTGACTTTAAGAGCTCTTTTATGTACTTGAAATAATAAAATCCAGAGTTTCACACAAATGTATGTACAACACTTTGAGCAAGAAGGATATAGGGAGCTGACTATATAACCGATTCCCTCCTCAAAACTTTCCACCCCTCAAAAGTTCCAAAGAAATATCAACACAGTGGAAAAAAGACCATAAAAAATCTGCACGCTGTTGGATTTTTTATCAAACAAAGACAGAAACAAAAAATTTAATGAACCTCTTACTTGGATTCTGAAAATGTAAGCCGAAAAAATCCCGTAGAAAACTTTTGTGGGTAATTTCTAAAATAATATACACCTATCTATTATCGACCCAATTTGTTTGCAAAACTTAATTTGTTATGATTTATTCCTGCCATCCACATGAGTTACTTATCATTTAATGCTCTTTTTCCCTCCACCTATTATAAACCCAAGTTATTTGCTAAAGTTTAATGATTACCATCATTTCTATTGTCCTGAGCTCTTCATCTTATAATGTTCTTATAGCCTCCAACTATTTTTTAATAAAAACTCAAGTTATTTGTTAAAGTTTAATGTTTTCTTTCCCATCGTCCTCAGTCCTCGTCCAATGATGATCCTGGCACTGGCCCATGCGTCTCTTCACCGGCCACCTTTCCAGTGGCTGCTACAGTTGGAGCCTCGCTGTCAGAAAATGGGAGGACCAGAGGCAGTTTCCTGAGACTCCGTGCAGGTTGAGCACCACAGATGGATCATTTCTGCGCCTACAACGTTACGTAGCTCGATGTACCAGGGAAAATCCTGAAAAACCAAGAACAGTTGAGATGCTTTTGGGGGGAGTTTTTGGTAAATGTTTGTATTTGTCGCATGTCCCATTTTCGGGTACATGCCATATTACTCATCTTATTTGTGTCAGACAAAATTTTTAACGAGAATGTGAGTAAGTAAGGGAATGTTCAAATATAATCTTACACCTGGAAGGGGGAGAGGGGGGGGGGGGGGGGGGAGCTTTTTCTCTTGTAAGAAAAGGTTAAAATCATAGGGTGGTCTTGAACCAATGTAATGTTCTGCAAACCCACGTGCTTTTAGCGAAACGATACAACCAAATCAAGCTTTTGTAAGATTTTATGTGTACACAATGGCCAATGACGTGGTGTTTACACAAAGAAAGATGACGTATGTGTGTACTCATTGAATGATGACGTATGTGTATACTCATTGAACGGTGACGTAGTATTTACACAAAGAACGATGACATATATGACTGTGTACTAATTGAATGATGACGTAGTATTTACACAAAGAACGATGACGTGTATGTGTACCCATTGAATGATGACGTAAAATTAACACAAAGAATGATGGCCTTGATGATATATGTGTACTCATCGAATGGTGACGTTGGTGCGTAGACAAAGAACGATGACGTTGCTGGTCCCGTAAAAGGGAGTAATTAGCAGGCTACCATTTCTTAATTTCATTGTTATGTCCCTTATTTTTTGCTTTCTAATATTCGCTTTTTTTTCTTTTCAATTTTTTCATTGTTATGTCCCTTGTTTTTCACTTTTTTATTATTCGCTTTTTATTTTCAATTTATATTTTCGTAATTAAAATTATTTCAACCTCCAAGCGCTAGACGCTAGATAGCTTCATGAATTTTCCGGGAACCTCACCATCTAGAGACTCTCTAGACGAAATTACAAATTGTAAAGATCGAGATCTAGATTCTAGATTCTAGACTAAGATCTTTAACTTATTCTTTGGTTTCGAAGTGACCAACCCATTTTCAAAGTTGGATGACGCGCTGCCATTAAAAATTCTTTGTTGACAGTTTGCTATCAGCTGAGTCCACATTCTCGTTATGGCTTTACTAAAGACTGTCTTTGGGAAGAATCAGATCTGGAATATGCCAAACATCATTAGATCTATACAAGTTTCTACACATCACCACCTTCAAGAATTTTATACTTGTTGGGAAGACAATATTCATGGCAGGAATTTATCTTTGACACAGTCTTTTTAAACATAATATGAGTAACACATGTTGACTGAAATCAGCCAGACTGTGAATAAAATGTAACAAACTTTCCGTCATTTCAAGAAAAATGACTAGGAATTTAAGTCAGTTCGTGAAAAGTCTGACCCTCATAGTCATTTCACGAAATGACTGATTTCACAGTCTGACTGCAACACACACACACACACACACACACACACACACACACACACACACACACACACACACACACACAGACATATGAAAGTTCTAGTTATACTTACAAGAATTTTATCGTTTTATTGTGGATTGGATAAAATACTTAAGGAAAGTGACTCTTTAAAGACGTAGAGAACACGTATGTCCAACGATCAGCAGACCAAAAGCAATATAAAGCGACCCATTTTTAACCATCGTACTCAGAATCAGAAACACCAGTTTGCATGCTTCATTAGACACATGTCGATGCCTGCCTTTTCAAAGTTTCAGATAATTAAAACTGTGTTGAAAATTTTTTATGAGGTAATGCTTCTTTTTTTTTCTCCATAAACTACCCCAAACAGGGCGTCGTCAATGATGTAACCAGCCTAATGGGGTGTGGGAGTCAGGATACAATCTTGTCGAAATAAAAGAGTGTTTCATCTGTGTATTGTGATGGTGTACAATTCTAACTCATATAAAAAACTGCCCACTTTATGGGATTTTAGCAACAAATTATTACCAGTTGTGATAGCTGCAGTTTTTGTTTCTACTCATTTCAAAGATGATGTCGACTGTTTGTTTTGCTTGCAGTAATGCTAGTCTAGTTTGAGAGATCTTGCGATGTCAAGTCGGGCCACACAAGCCATAATATGTTGCACATCTCTATTTTTGCTGTGCACCATCTTGTGCAGTTTCGTGCATTCTTTCTAGAGCTGAAAATGTGTGTATGTATTTGACCTGCACTTTCCTTAATGCACGTCTCCATGCACGTTGTACGACCTCTGTTTTATCGCACTGTCTCTCTGGTGAAAGGTACTTTAAAAAATGAATCTAAAATGAAATGTTTTTCTTTGATTGAAGCAGTAGCACTCTGAGGTTCACACAAAAACAGTATTGAGGAATTCTGGATTTTTGATTATGTACAATTGTAAAATTGTTTTACTAAACTAAAGACTTATCGAGCCTACAATGCTATAAAACGTAAAATCCTTCTGTTCTTGTTGCCGTTTTTCACGCATTCTTTATTTCTCTATATTTTCATCATTCTCTTTCTGTTGGTAGTCGGAGCTCCTCCCAGGCTGTGCTCTAGCCGGAAAATTTTCCCTGGAAGAGGATTTGGTTGGTCTGGTCGTCCCGGAGGAAGAACAGGAAGGGGTGGTCAGCCCGGAAGTGGGTCATGTCTGAGTGGATCATGACACTCTCGGCCACAATGGTGACCACGGTGGCGGCGGCGGCTGTGGTTCCAGTCTCTTTGACCTCGATCACGGCTTTGTGGATGACTGAGCTGATGTGTGTGCCGTTAACTGGGGAAGATACATATGGGGGG